GGTATGAATACCAGAAGGCAAGGGCCATTGAGGGCCATATTAGAAGTCAGCTGCTCTAACACAGAAATAAAAAGATCACTACAAGAGCTGCAACATGGAGCTGGGAAATCACATGGAAAGGAGAACAAAATGACAGGCTGCACATGGTGGTGCACACTGTAATCCCAGCCATCAGGAGGCTGAAGTTGGAGAATCAAAAGTTTGAGGCCAGCCTGGGCTACATAGCAAGACTCTGTCTTAGAAAACAAAACAAAACAAACACAGATAGATGGAAAATAGGAGAGAAAATGACAATCAATTCAGGAAGCTCAATATATGATTAGAAGAAAAGGGAAAAATCACAAATGCAAACACACACATGTACAAGGAATAAACGATTGAAGAATGAACTATAAATTCCATTTAAATAGTGCAAAGTGCTTAGAGGTAATCATTATTACCTGGGGTTTGAACTCCAGGCCTTGCACACACTAGGCAGGTGTTCTACTACTTGAGACATACCACCAGCTTAGAGATAATAGTCTTAAAAGATATGTAAGACACTGAAAACTAAAAGACATTGCTAAAAGAATTAAGGAAGACCTAAATAAAGAAAGAAATGTACACTATTCATGGATCAGAACATTGTTATTATGCTACCTTAACACAAGCTTCCTAAAAAGCTTTAGTAATCAAGACATTTGCGGTAGCAATCAATAAATACAGAATAGAAAGTTCAGAAATAGACTCACTATTATAGTAAATATATTTTTATTTATGGTACTGGTGTTTGAACTCAGAGTCCCATGCTTGCTAAGAAAGCACTCTAGTCAAGAGATTTTTTATTAAGACACCATAGCAATTTAATGAGAAAAGAGAAGTATTTTCAACAAATGGTACTTAGAACCACATGGACAAAAGTGAGCCCTCAAATCATACCTCTTACTGCCAGGTGCCAGAGGCTCATGCTTGTAAATCTAACTAATTGGGAGGCAGAGATCAAGAAGATTGTGGTTCAAAGCCAGCCCAGACCAATAGTTTGCAAGATCTTATCTCAAAAATACCCAACACAAAAACAGGGCTGGTGGAGTGGCTCAAGTGGTAGAGCATGTGCCTAGCAAGTGTGAGGCACTGAGAACCGACCCTCCACAAAAAATCTTACCTCATACTATTTGCAGATTTTAATTTGAGATGGACACATGCCTCAAAATCAAAGTCAAAATTCTTTCTTTCTTTTTTTGCTGGGATTTGGTTTTGAACTCAGAGCTTAGCACTTGTAAAGCAGGCACTCTACTGCTTGAGCCACACCTCCAGTTCATTTTGCTTTGGTTATTTTGGAGATGGAGTTCTCTAACCCTAACTCTAGATCTAGCCCTAAAAATAACCCTCACCCTAAGCCTAACACTAGACACAGATATAGCCCTAAACCTAACATTGAACCTAGACCTAATCCTAACTCTACACCTAGACCTAATGCTAAGCCTAACTGTAATTTAGGGCCATAGCCCTAGCTCTAGCCCTAAGCCTGCTCCTAGACCTAGCCTTAGCCTTAGTACTGACCCCAACCTAACCCTAGCCCTAATCCTAACTCTAACCTAGGCCGTAACCCTAACATTAACTTTACACCTAGCACTAGCCCTGTCTCTCTTTAGACAGAGTCCAATCTCAACCCAAGTAGTTAGGATTACTGGCATAGGCCACTGACACCCAGCTAAAAAAGTCAAAAGTCTTGAACCATCAATGGACATTGTAGAAATGCAAATAGGTGAGGCACAGACTAGGCGAAAATATTTGTGATTGGTACATCTGATAAAAGGACTGAAATCAGAGTATTGGCTCTAACCACTATAGAATTAAACTGGAAATTAACAAGATAGCCAGGGAGTCCTGTAAATATTTGGAAACCAACACAATTCTACACTTCAGGTCAAAGAACTGATCAATGGAAGTTTAAAAATAGTTTGAATTAAAAGACAATGTTAGGTAATACTTTGTCAAAATTTGTAAGATGCAGCTGAATAGGACTTACAGAGAAAATCTGTAGTTTAAAATGCTTATATTTGGAAAAAAGGTTAAAAGCTCATAATCCAAGTCTCTATTTTAAGAAGCTTTTTTTTTTTTTTTCCTGTGCTGTACAGGGTATTGAAATCAGGGCCTTGCTAGACAGTGTTCTACCACTTCAGCCATGCTGTTTTGCCTGTGTCTTGTCTTTCAGATAGGATCTCCTATGTAGCTGGTGACTAATTAAAAATGCTCCAGCCTTAACCTCCCCAATGCTGTGATTACAGGTGAGACCTACCATCCCTGGCCAGGAAACTTTTTGAAAAGTAAATTAGCCTGTGGAGAGAGAAGAGAGTACATAGCTCAGTTTTAATGTGAACCTAAAACTGTGCTTTTAAAAAACAAAGTCTATTTTTTAAGGTCTATGCATCAAATGACTTTGACAAGGGTGCCAAACTACTCAGTGACCAAAGGACAGTCTCCTGGAATATTATGACTACTTTTTTTTTTTTTTGATGGGACTGGGGTTTGAACTCAGGGCTTTGCACTTGCAAAGCAAGCACTCTACCCCTTGAGCTATCCCTCCAGTCCTCCTCGAATATTATGTTGGGAAAACTGGATATCCAAATTCGAAAGAATGAAGTTGAACCCTATCATACACTATATACAAAAGTTAACTCAAAGTAAGTTGAAAACATAAGACATAAACCAAAACCATAAACTCCTAGAAGAAAACATAGGAGAGGCTCAGTACATTGGACTTATCCATGATTTCTTTCTTATGATACAAAAAGCACAGGCAACAAAAGCTAAAAGAAAAAAAAACAGGGCTGAATTAAAGTTTAAAACTTTTGTATATCAAAGGACATAATCAAACCAGGCACAGTGGCTCATGCCTGCAAACCCAGCTATGCCAGATGTGTAGCTAGGAAAATTGCAGTCAGGAACGAAAATGTAGACCCTATCAGAAAAATAACTAAAGCAAAAAATGGCTGGGGTCATGACTCTAGTAATGAGAGTTTGCTTAGCAACATGAGGCCTTGAGTTCAAAAACCCCAGTACTAGCAGGGCACTGGTGGCTTACACCTATGATCTAAGCTACTCAGGAGGCAGAGATCAGAAGGATCATCGTTTGAAGCCAGCCCAGGAAAATAGTTCATGAGACTCTGTCTTGAAAAAACCCATCATAAAAAAGGCTTGCAGAGTGGCTCAAAGTGAAAGCCCTGAGTTCAAGCCCCAGTACCACACACACACACACACACACACAAATAAATAAAAAAGATCATAACCATATTTTTTATAAGGGGTTGACATCCATAAATGTAAGGAACTCTTCTGTGTCTCACTCCATCTGCTAATCACAATGGAAGAAAATTCATGTTGTTCTGTGTACCAGTAGTTTCTTCTTTTTCATTGCTTACTAGTAGTATTCCATTGTGTGAAGCAACCACAGAACATTTTTTTTTATTAATGGACATCTTTTTTTTTTCCAGTTTTTTTTCTATCGTGTGTAAATAAAGAACTATTAACATTCATGTACAAGTCTTTTGATGAACAAAACTAAACTGGAATTTCTGGGAAGGTTAGGAATGTATTTAATTTTATGAAAAAAAAAAAAACCCTACCACACCATTTTCCAAAGTGTGCCATTTTACTCTCCCATCAGCAGTGTGCAAGTTTAGTGTCTGCACCTACATTTGAGGATGTCTGTGTTTTCAGTATTAGCCATTTTTATGGGTGTAGGCTGATTTTGCTGTGATTTTTTTTTTTTGGCGGTAATTGGAGTTTGCTCTCCCACTTGAACCACTCTAACCAACCCTTAATTTGTTTTCTTGATGAACAATGATATTGGGCACTTTTTTCATGTGATTATGGACCATTCACATACTCTCTTCGTAAAGTGTCTTGTCATGAGGCTACCAGTTTTGTAATTCGAATGTTTACTTTCTTGAGTTGTAGATTATTAAATATTTTGTATTGAAAAATATGAGACTTTCTTTGTGATCCTGCCCCCAGGTTTGGCTGTTTTGCCATGATGGGATGATTAGGATCCCTTTTTTCCTGCTTTGGTTATGGGTGCAGTGCAGGCGGTGGGTGGTCGCCTCAGCGTTTGAAAGCCTGAGCAGTTTTCATTCATCTGGAGGTCCTCGAGGCTTACACAATGACTAGCACACAGAAGATGTCAGACATCTACCTCCCGGGACTTTCTAGGAAGGCTCTTTTCCTCTCACTGAGCAGGGGTGGAAGGGCCACGTGAACTTGGGGAAGCAAATAAAGTTGTACTCTAAGACTTGTTTTTTCATATTGGTTTTCTCTTCGGAGGCGAGAAAGCTAACAAGTTCTCAAAACCCTGACGCTGTCACAGGGAGAAGAGGAGCTGCCTTGAACTCGGGAAAAGTCGGGATCGCCTCACGTCCGATTTAGAGCGCAGGTTCCCAGCGAGGCCTGAGGAAGCAGGGCCCCGGGTGCTGGCACGCGCTGGCCTGGACAATGCAGTACAAACTTCCTTCGGGAACAGGAACTGGGTGTGACCAGAGGAGTCCCACGGCTCACTGCCATCACGTGACAGAGCCCAGCGCTGAAGGACCCAGGAACCTACCTTCCCACAGGCCCCTCCCAGTCGACGCACTCTGTGTGGCTCCGCCCCGTCCACCGTAAGGAGGAGCACGAGGCCCCGCCTCCACACGGCCTTCCCGGAGGGCCAGGCCGGCTAGTAGGGCGGGGCCAGGAGCCTGAGGGAGGTGCGGGGGGAGGGGAGGAGAGGAAGGGAAAAGTCACGTGCGGCTGGCGGCTCGAGGTCACGTGACGGGGCGCCGGGGCGGAGGGAGCGGGGCTGGGAGTTCTCCTGAGGGAAGAGGAGCGAAGTGGCGGGGACGCGGCGGCGACGCTGACAATGGTGAGTGCGCGGCGGCCTGCGCCCCTGTCTCCCGCGCTCGCTTCGTAGCGCGCGGCAGGACGGCCAACGGCGGGAGCTGCGTCGAAGGAGGAAGGGGCGGGCGAGCCCGGGGAGGAGTGGGTCAGGCCTGTCGGGCTGCCCGGGGTCGGAGGAGCGGGCGGCGCCGCCTCTTCCCGGTCTTGGGCCCGGGCACCTGCCTGCGGGCGACGGCGCGCTCGCCTGGCCATGTCGGAGCCTCTGCCCGCGTTCCTCGACCGGCTGCGGGCGCCCTGGCTGGGCACTGGGTCCCCGCCTCTGCTGGGGCTCAATGCCGCCGCCTCTCCTAAGGTAGCGGGTTCCCCGCTGCCCCGGGCAGCCTCGCGTCCGTGCGGGTCGGGTGACGCCGGGGTCCCGCGGGCCGGCACTCCGGCGGGACGTGGTCACGAGCTTGATAAAACTCTGGTGCCTTTCGACATGGATGGGGCAACGCTCTACGATTTCGTGACCCGGGTTGAGGCTGGCTGTTGGCACTTACAGAATGGGGGAGACGAAAAGAAAAGGGTGTCGGGAGCAGCAGTTTGGGGCGTGGGCTCTCAGTTCCTTGCCCGAGCCATTTCTCTAACTTGGCGCTGCGGGATGGTGACGATGGCCTGGAGACTGGAGGGAAGTCCGAGCGCTCCAGCCGCGGTCAGTGGGAGCTCGGGGTGGGCGCGGCGGGGGTGCACTTGGGGCGCCCCGGCTCGTGTTATGGTGGTGGTTCTTTCTTTGTTCATTTACGGGAGCGTGCGGACGTGAGCGCCTACTGTGTGCGCCCCTTTTTACTACCTGATTTCCCAAAGCTCAATAAACTGCTTTGATACTGTTGGCTAAAGGCCAAAGCTTTATTCTTTAAGCTATTTTGGATAAACAACTTTTAAATTCGGAAATAGTGATTTCATTTAAAAAAGTTCATTCTTGTAGCTTTTTCCCTATATTAAAATATATTTTGGTGCACCCAAGGGCCTAAGCAAAACTGCCTGCTTTCTTGTAGTTTACGGTCTAGGAAAGAGATACATTTAGTTTTGTAAATTAATTTAAGGTGGAAATTACCATCATGATAAATTCTGAGATGGAATTAACTGGGGGAACTCGCCTCACCAGGGAATTAGGAAAGCCTTCTTTAATTAAACATAATTTGAAAAGAAAATTTAAAAGCCCTCCCTTTTTTTTTTCTCACATGTGTAATTAGTACTTTCATTAAACTTTCTGAATTATGTTCAGGAGCAGTTTTTATTTCAAATTACTCATCAAACAAAAGAAGTTGTAAAGCTTTAAAACATTGAAATGGACACATGTAAAGGATGTATGAAAATTTGCTGTTTCATCGTGTGTAGGCTAAATAAAATTTGAGAGCCTTCATTCCACCTCACCTTGAGTTGCATTTTTTTCTCCCATCCACCAGACTTGGTGAAATTTCTTCAATGAGAGCTAAAAAGTTCGGTAGATGTAATTTTGCTAGATGGTAATGTTCAATACAGGCTTTACAAATTACATGAAAAATCTTAATCTAACGTCGTGGTTAATCTGAGGCTTAGGCCAACATTAGAAAATTGTAGCTGGGCGCTTGGGAGGCTGAGATTGGGAGGATCCTAGGCAAATAGTTTGCAAGACCCCATCTCCAAGATTACCAGAGCAAAGTGGACTGGAGGTGTGGCTCAAGCAGTATGGAGCGCCTAAGTTGCAAGCCCAAAATCTTGAGTACAAACCCCAGTCCCGCAAAAAAAAAAAAAAAAAAGGAAAAGAAACAAACTGCTGTAAGGGTTTGCCAGTAATATATAGTGCCTTGTAGTTATTTAAAAGCTTCCTAAGAGTTTAAACTTTATTTTCAACTATTGCTCCTGAAAATCTTCTTTTAATTTTTTTTTTCTTTTTGTGGTGCTGAGTGAGAACTGAATCCAGGGTCTTGCATATGTTAGGCAAGTGCTCCACCGCTGAAGTGCATCCTCAGCCCCCAAACACATATTCTTGTATGTTTTTTGAAACAAAGTCTTGCTGTGTAGCCTGGGCTGACCTGGAACTCATCATCCTCCCCATTGCTGACGTTTTTTTGATTGCTCTCTTGAAGCTGTCTTTGCCAAAAGAACTGAGTAGTAATCTTTCACTAAAAAGACCTCAGAACCACCCTCTGTAAGCTCAGCATAAGTCCACATTAAAGTATCCTAACCCTGTTTTCAATTTTTATTCCCTTTCCTTCTGTATTTTACTTCCTCTTTAACACATCAGAAGTATTATAATTTGTGACTAATTACAAAGTTTTACAACTTTTGGAAATGACAGAAGATGCACATCTTGAGATAAAACATTTGAAGGCAAAACTTTGGATGAAGAATCCTTTTCTTAGACATGAGTAAGGTTGCTCGCCTATAATCCCAGCACTCAGGAGGCTAAGGGGTTGTGAGTTCTGTGTCAGCTTGGGCTACATAGCAAGTTCCAGACCAGCCTGAGCTACATAGTAAGACCTTGTCTCAAACAAAAAACCAAAAACCCTTTCAACTCTTTTGAGAAGGAAAACAAAAACAAAAACCCAAGCTCTTTACTCATATTTTTTCTTCTGTTGTTGACTTGTTAAGTGTAAGACATCCATAATTTTCTGGAGGCTTCTTTTTAGTGAGGCTTATAGGTAGGTCAGTTACTAAATTCTCATGGCATAGTTAACTTGTTGAAGTGCTATAGTTTATTACTCAACCTATTACTGTTCTGCATATGCTATACAAGGCTTTTTAAAATACCTTCTAACACTTTCAATTTTAATATTTTTGAATGTATTGCAATTCTGCTTTTCATTTTAGTTATGAAATACTTCATACATACAGAAAGTGAGAGTGTATAGCACAGTTTTTGAATATATTTTTTATTCCTAAGAGTTTTTAAAAATTGTGTCATAACTCTGTTTATTGTTATTGCGAAGTTTTATAAAAGTGTGTTGGTAACTTTAATTTTGGTAAAATTTTTAGTGGCAATTTTACTTTTGCTAAAATTGTGCTTAATTTTTGATTTTTTTTTTTTTTAAGTGGGACTGGTTGGGGTTTGAATTCAAGACTTCACACTTGCAAAGCAGGTGCTCTCCTGCTTTAGCCAATGCCTCCAGTTCATTTTGTTCTGGTTATTTTGGAGATGGGGTCTTGAGAACTGTTTGCCTGGGCTGGCCTCAAACTGCAATTTTTCTGATCTCTCTGCCTTCTAAGTAGTTAGTATTACAGGCGTGAGCCATTGGTGCTCAGCTTAATTTTTGATAATTTGATCTTTAAATGTCAGCTTTCAAATCCCAAGTGCAGTGCTGTATGTTTTAAGGTATATGTGGAAAAAAGTTGCTATTTTTTCATTTGTCTGTAAAACCATTTTAAAAATTTTCAAATTGCATTTTTCTCTGAAGTAGCTCTGGAAATTGTAAGGTTGGGGAAGGCAATCAATTTTAATTTTTCTGTCTTTTATTTTGTGACTTAAATGAGCTAATGTGGGTGTCATAAGAAAGAAAAGCTTAGTCCCTTATCCTCCTCACTGCCGGGTGACATTATCTTTTAATGTATCTGACTTTGTTTCCTCATCTAAAATAGACCAGTACTTGGGTATGTTGTCTTTTACACTTTATAATCGATCTTCCCGCAGCAGCTTTCCTCCCTTGCCGGCTCAGTGATTTGCACATACTTGATAATTAGTAAATATCAGCTGATTATTTAGTTTTTGGGTGGGACTGGGATTTGAACTCAAGACTTCACACTCACAAAGCAGGTGCTCTACCATATAAGCCACACCTCCAGACCAGCTGATGGATTTTGAGTTGCTAGGCATTTCATGTCTGTAGCCCTTAGGTGAAAATGTGTTTTAAAATTCACCATTTTTGAACAATCTTTGAGTTTAAGACTCAGAGTATGAAAGCTACTTAGGACACTGGTTGTGATGGTGCACACCTGTAATCTCAGCCACTTAGGGAGAATCCCAAATTTGATGCCAGCCTGGGCAAGTTAGTGATACCCTGTCTCAAAATTTGAGAGGGGGTGGAGGTTGTAGCGGAGTGGTAGACTGTTTGCTTAGCATGCATGAGGCCTTAGTTTCAATCATTAGTACCTAGGGAAAAAGAGGAAAAGGTAACTAGGAATGGATGGTGCATGTGACCTATGCATTCCTCTCTTTTCTAAAGTAGTTCTTTATGATTTTCTGATTAAAATTTGGGGTACTTACAGTGTTGCGAGGAAAGAGTAAACATGTCAGAAAAAAATCCCCTCACAGGTTGTATCTTTAGACTATCAGAAATACTAAGCAATTCTTTTAGTTGGTTTCTTGAAATTATAATCCCTTTTATTAACACAGGAGTAACAAAAACAAAGAAACAAACCCAGGATTGGAAAAGCAATCTCATTTGATTGTAATGTCTCTTATGACCTCCATAACCTTAGGAGGCGTGTGTGTGTGTGTGTGTGTGTGTGTGTGTGTGTGTGTTTTTTTTTTTTACCCTGGCTACTTTGGTGGACAGACCGGAGATTTAACACAAGTTCTGTGCTCTAAACTTTGCTACTGCACTAATCCTGTTTTGCTGGGAAGGGGCTAATCTTACCACCTGTTACAGATTTCAGCCAGTTTCTTTTGTATATTCACTTATTTTCTATTATTAGAATACTATGTATGTATTGTAGTTTAATATTCAACAGGTACTTAAATGCCTTCCATTAAATGCCACATGCTACTGTTAAGGCACTAAGTCTTCAGTGATGAGCAAAGAATAAGGTGTCTGTCCTCAGGGAATTTACAGTTCAGTTAGGAGAGTCAGGCACTAAATCAGAAATAAGTTTGAATTTAATTTGGATTTAGGGAATCAGGGAAAGCCTTTACGGAGAGGAGTCTAAGGATGAATGAGTTAGATTAAGGTGCTTTGCTTGTCTCTACTGCAAGAGACTGGCAAATTTGATGACTATTGTGGTAAGAACTCTTGATCATTTAAGGCTGACGTTTCTGGAGAGATAAATAAGACCAGTTATATGTAGGTCACATTAGGGAATATATTGTGCATGTTTAAAATAACACTTAGTTGACGTTAATGTTACCTATAAAAATTGCACAGATTAAGTGTATAGGTTGATTAATTTCACAAAGTAAACGTGGTTGAGAATCAAGTGCTCAGATAAAAACTATGACTAGCATCCCAGCTCCCTTTGTGCTTCTAGCTACTTCTAACTTCTAATACTATAATGTACATTACATGTTTTTGACTTATATAAATGTAATCTTACCTATTTTTCAGCATATGTGTATGAGATTCACCTTGTGTGTGTAGTTGTATCTCTTTAATTCTATTACTGTTCACTATTATTGTATGAATATATTAAAATTTATATATCCATTCTCTTTGATATTTGGATTGTTTTATTCAGAGCTGTTAAGAGCATTCTTATATTTGTGTTCTGGTTCATGTATGTAAGAGTTTGTCTGTAGACAGAATTCCAGAGGAGGAATTGCTGAGCCATGGGATATGTGCATCTTCAACTTATCAGATAATAATCAAACTATTTTCTAAAGTAGTTCCAATTTATAAGCCCATTAAAAGATTTTAAGCCCTGAATGCTATGATCAGATTAATGGTTTTAAATATTTCTCTAGGTTTTGTGTAGGGCAGAGTAAGAAGAGAGCCATTGTGGTGGTGTGGGCTTGTAGTCCCAGCTACTTGGGAGGCTGAGGCAGGAGGATGGCTTGAGCACTGAGTTTGACCAGCTTGAGCAACATGGTGGGACCCCATCTTAAAAAAACAAGCACAAGCTGGGTGCTGGTGGCTCATGCCAGTGATCCTAGTTGCTCAGGAGGCAGAGATCAGGAGGATCACTGTTGGAAGAGACCCTATCTGGAAAACTACCCATCACAAAAAAGGGCTGGTGGAATGGCTCAAGTGGTAGGTAGAGCACCTGCTTTGCAAGCGTGAAGTCCTGAGTTCAAACCTCAGTACCACCAAAAAAACCCAAAACAAACAAAACACCAAATAAGCACAAGAAGGGATGTAGGCCAACATGAAAGGAGACTTCTCTGTGTATATTTTAAAACTGACTGGAAGACTAGCTTTTGTTAGAAACAAAAATTAATCTATAGCTATATCCAGTATTAGAATTATTAATGGATTCAGTTCATTATTATTGTCAACCAATAAGTTTTGGCATTGATAAGCAATTGGTCTTTTGTCCTTTGTATTTCTGTCTTTTTTTATTTTGGTGGGACTGGAGTTTAAACTTAGGGTATGCAAAGGTGCTTGCAAAGCAGGCATTCTACTGCCTGAGCCACAACTCCAGTCCATTTTGCTCTTGTTATTTTGGAGATGGGGTCTTGTGACCTATTTGCCTTGGCTGCCCTTGAACCATGATCTGACCGATCTCAGTCTCCCAAGTAGCTGGGATTACAGGTATGAGCCACTAGTACCTGGCTATATTTCTGTCATACTGGAAAAGGCTTACATGTTTTCTTTGGGAAAATTTGTGGAAATTTCATTAGTTTCCTTCATTAGAGCCAGTTTTACTCAAAGGGCTTACACAATATAATGAATCCTGTTTAGACCTAATGCAGAGGTAGATTTTATAGTAAGTAGTACATTGTAGTAATTCATTTGGGCTTGAAAGATTGCCTAAGTTCTTCTATGATGAAAGAATCTTATAGAGGTATAATGAAAGATAACTTTTCAAGTCCAGACATTAAGAATTAACTTCCTATTTTTCTGTTTCTAAATGTTAGTATTTGATGATATATAATGGCTACTTATGGAAATGATTGAAATTACAGCATGTTTAAGTTGTTTTTTTCTCTTCTGTGGTTAACACATAAGAAACCTAATGTCAACAAATTTTTAATGTACACTGTAGTATTAACTGTATGCACATTGTTTCACTCAGTTCAGTTTTTTTGCCCTTTTTTGTCAGTTCAGTTTTGATGTAGAATTTGATAAGTTCTTACTTCCTTGTGAACTCAAAGGTTTGTAGTCTGTTTAGCTGTAGGTCAAAGGTAATTAAATTTGAATTAAAATGTGACTGGCTAAACATGATAATTACAAGCATTTTTATTTTGTTTCAGAGTTTTCTTGGAGGTTTTTTTGGTCCCATTTGTGAGATCGATGTTGTCCTTAATGATGGGGAAACCAGAAAAATGGCAGAAATGAAAACTGAAGATGGTAAAGTAGAAAAACACTATCTCTTCTATGATGGAGAATCTGTTTCAGGAAAGGTAAATCTTTTGTTTGGCAGAATTACCTAATTGTAAGATATAAGAATTAGTTATTAAAATAGTGTGTGTTGTGTCCAAATTTGAATGATTTTATTAGAGATGGAAATTTTTTCCCTGATCATCAGCTAAAGTTACTGATTGATTAGAACATTTAAGGAAAAATTCTTATCCTGGAAGTTTCAGGGGCAGAGTATTTAAATTTCACAAAAATTTTGTTTGTGACTTTGCCTCTGTCCAGCTTTGGAGAGTTTCTCCAGAATGGGGCTGGGATGCCTCAAAATTTGTTTCTCCTTTAATATAAAGTTGAATTCTAGAGATTGGGAGTAATTCTTTGGCATGGCATTCTAAAAGTTTCTTTCTCATTGTTTTTAGCTTACTTCCTGTCCTCCCTTTGTGTCTGTTCTCATTTTTTGGTACTTTGTGGAGGACCTAAGTCCTTTTGGAAAGCGTTTGCATAGTCAGATACATTTAGGATGCCTTCTATAAGATTTTACTTCCTTTTTCCCTTTTCCTTATCCAGTGATATGTAAGATTATTCTATATGATCAATACTTAGTAGCCTGTGATACTAGGGAATGGTAATAATCACAGAAAAAAGTAAGCCAAAAACATTTGAAATATTTTTTTTTTTTTTAGTGGTACTGGTGTTTGAACTCAGGGCTTCAAGCTTGCTAGGTAGGCATTCTACTGCCACTTCCATCCCTTTTTGCTCTGGTTATTTTTGAGATAGGCTCTTGCTTTTTGCTCAGGCCAGCCTGAACAGTGATTCTCCTCTTTATGCTTCTTGCAGTAGCTGAGATGACAGGTACATGCCATTGCACCCAATTACTGGTTGAGATGGGATCTTGTGAAGTTTTTGACCAGGTTGGCCTTAAGCCATAATCTTCTTGATATCTGCCTCCTGAGTAGCTAGGATTATAGGTATGAGCTATTGGAACCTAGTTTAAAATTTTTTTTGGTGGTCCTGGGGTTCAAACTCAGGGCTTTGTGCTTGCTAGGTAGGTGCTCTACCACTTGAGCTCAGCCCTGAAGTAAATTTTTAAAATACAAATATTAACATTTTTCTCTTCTGCTAAAGTAATATATACATGTGGTAGATAGTTTTGGAAATAAAACCTATAATCTCATCATGGGAATAATTCATTAAAATTTAGGTATATCTCCTCTTAATTTCTGCATTAATTATTGTTTATGTATTTGTAGTACAGTCATGTGTCACTTAATGACAAGGATGTACTTTTTCTGTCCACTTATATATGTAATGTATTCTTTTTCTTTTTTTATTGTGCTGGGGGTACAATGTGGCATTTATAAAAGTTCTTACAATATGTCAAATATATCCTACTTGAATTCACCCCCTCCATCAAGGATACACTTTTGACAAATGTGTCTTTGGGCAATTTTGTCATTATGTGAACATCACAGAGTATACTTACACACCTAGGTGGTAGAGTCTTCTATACACCTAGACCACATGGTGTAGCTTATTTCAAAATTTTTTGCCTTTTTAAACTTTGTGTCGAAAACTTAAGGCATAAATACACACATTAGCCTAGGCATATTCAGAGTTAGGATTATCAGTATCACTGTTCTCTACCTCCACAACTTGTCCCTACTGGAAGGTCTTGAGGGGGCAGCAACATGCTTAGAGCTGTCGTCACCTGTGATAACAACGCCTTCTTCTGGAATGCCTCTCCGAAGACCAGACTCAGACTGTTTTAGTAAGTAGGAGTATACTCTAATAACGAAAAAGTACATGACAGTAAATACACAGAACAGCAATGTAGTTTATTATCATTATGTATACTATACACAATTGTTAAATTTTTATTAATTGTTAAGTATCTGTTGGGGTCTTAGTGTCATACTTTTATATGCATGGTAGTGCAGTAGGTTTGTTTATAGCAGCATCACCACAAACATGCACGTAATACTTTGCAGTGTTATGACTGCTATGAAGTCACTAGGGTTTTGGAATTTCTCAGCTTCATTATAATCTTACAGGACCACCATCACATACGCAGTTTGTCATTGACTGAAACATCATTATGTGGTGCATAACTGTATGTTAAACAAATCTTCTGTTGTAGGATATTTAAGTAGTTTGTATTTTTTAGATGTCTAAAAAAATATATGATTACATCTTTGGTAATATGGATATCTATAGGCATGAATTTTTTTTTCCAGATTCTGTAGTATAAGATTTTTTGTTGAGAATAGATACCTGGAAGTGACTTGCTGGGCTAAAAGATAGGAGTATTTGAAGCACATTAATCTGGACCATTTATTTGCATTAAATTACTTGTTTTACCTATATTGTCTTTCACACACAGCATCATGGAATATGGGCACTTTGTAATCTTTTGACAGGCTAAAATCTTATTTTAATTTGCACTGCTTTAGTTACTAGGTACGATGAAGTTACGTTTATTAGCGATTTGGGATTCTTTATATACTGCATTGTCTATTGATGTCCTTTGCTAAATTACTTAGTGGAGTCTTAGTGTCTTAACTGATGAATTTTACTTTTCTTCTTTGGTACTTTTTCTTTAAAAAGTTGGAGATTAAATGAAGAGGCCTAAAGGAGAGTATGGAACATACTAAATGAAAGAAGAGTAAAAGAAATAATGTTTAACGTATAAAAATGATGACTTGCTAATGGAGTTGGAAGGACTGGGTAGGAATACCTATCTAGTCTTTTTCTAGAGAGAGATTGAATCTGTTAATAGCGCTTTTTTTTTTTAATAGAAATGATAAGTAAGTAAATATCTCTCCTGATGAAATGTAAGCTTTTTAAGGTCAGGGGATTAGAGTGAGCTTCTAATATTTTCCACAGACTATATCATAGTGTTGATTACTTGATAGCCTTCACTAAATATTTGATATATTTATTCTTCTTAAGTCTAGTAGAGAACTGTCCCTGTCTAGTTTAAAGTAATTTGTGTTATGTATACCAAATGAATGTTCATGGATGATGCTTTATGGGAAGAGGAAAATAATTGGTGTTCAAATTACATTTTGGAATTGCTAGAAATTATGTGTAGACCTAATCAATAACTGTAGAGTTCATTAAAAAATGATAATCTCTTGCAGGTAAATATTTTCTGTTGCTTAAAAGATGCTGTATCTTGAATCTGTTCAGTGACTTGGGATTTTTTTTTTCCATTTTTAACCTTTTATGTAAAATAAAGATTAGATGAAAACCCACACAAAACAGAATGAATTATTATAAGGCATATCTTTTTTTAATACTCTAAGTCAAGAGGTAGAACTTTGCCAGCAACTCCATATATCCTGTCTCAATCACAACCTTCTCCCCTCAGAAGTTACCACTATGCTGACTTTCACAGTGGTTAATTTCTTGGGTTTGTTATTTAGCTTTGCTCATTTAAAAAAAAACTGGTATGTTTTTTAAATCTGTTAATCTCACGTTCCTTTCTTATGACTTTCTTTTTGTCTGTTGAAGAACCCGGGCCACAGAGTTCTCTGTGATTACATACTTACGGTACAGTTTTTGCCTGCCTAAACATTGGCAGCTGGATCCAGATGCTTGATGAGATTCAAGATTGATTCTTTTGGCAAGAACATAGGTGGTACTATGTTTTTTCATTGGGGGTGTGTAATGTCTCATTTTCTTTCTCTTCTTCTTTTTCACAACTCTTAATGCTCGATAACTAGATTGATTTCATTCATTTGGGGTTGTAGACGGTGATTACTTTTAATTCTATCATTTTGTTTTTACATAGATGAAAAAGATTTATGAAGAAATGCTATTCATTTGTTATGTTGTTACCTAGTGGTACAGTTCATATAGAAAAGACAAGAAGTACTAGATCCTCCCCTCCCCACTTTTTTGCCAGGTTTTAAAAATAATAAATTGGTTCCTTATCCCCCAAAGGTAAACCATTAGTTTTATTTTTCAATAATATGAACTTACGATTTAAACATACTTGATGTTCATAGATAGTACCCAATAGAAGGTCCAGTTGTTTTAGTTTTCATTCCTAGGTTGACACATTACCTCAGACTTAGCAGCCTAAAATAGAATGAGTTTATTATCTTACGGTTTTGTGCGTTAGGAGTCCATATGTGGTTTAGCTGAGTTCTCTGCTTAGAGACTTAGCAGGCTGAAATCTGTCTAAGGTAGCAGTCTCATCTGAAGTTTTTGGTCTTCTTTCAGGCTTACTGGTTTGGGGCAGAAATCATATCTTTGTAGCAGTATGACTGAGGTCCTTGTTTTCTGAGCTATTGGCTCCGGAGCACTTTTTTGCTCCTAGAAGCTGCTCTCAGATCCTTGTTGTGTGGCCCTTCTTACAACATGGCAGTTTGCTTTATTTTTAAGTCCATCTGGAGACCATCTCTCTAGCATTCACCTTCCTTAAAGGGGTTACTTGGTAATATCAGACCCATCTAGATAATCTCTCTTTTGATTAAAAAAATTAGCTGATTGGTAACCTAATCATAGGAGTGATATCCTATAATATTCTGGTCCCACTTACTCTAGAAAGAACAGGATTATACAGGATGTATAGACCAGGTGGTGGTAATATGGAGGACTCTCCCACTTTGATATTGGCTCATGTGTTCTTTTCATAGAAGCCTAGGTTCTTTTTTTTTTTTTTTAAAGTTTTGTTGAGACTTACCCATTTAATATGTACTTAAAAATTTAAGTACATTTACAGAATTGTGCAGTCCTCACTCTTGATTCTAGAACATTTTCATAATTACTGAAAGAAAGTCTGTATCATTAGCAGTCACTTTTCTTTCCCTCCTCCCACCCCCAGACCATAGAAAACACCAATATATTTTTGTTTCTATGAACTTACTTGATCTGGACATTTCATATAAATAGAATTATACGACGTGAAGCTTTTTCTGATTGGTTTCTTTCATTTAGTATAATGTTTTTGACAGTCATACACGTTGTAGCATGTATTTTATTCCTTTTTATTGCTCTGTAGTATTCCATTTTAAGACTGTACCACATTTTATATATTAAT